GTCAGATCCCACTGAGATGACAGATCCCTTTTGCAAGCCAGACCTGGGTTGGAAGGCAACCTATTGCGCATGGTTTTAGTCTGTGGGAGGAAACTGGAATACCCAGGGAAAACCCACACAAGCACAAAGAGAACATGCAAACTACACATAGAAAGACCCCCGGTCTGAACCGGGGATCGAAGCCAGGACCTCATTGCTGTGAGGCGTCAGTGCTATCCACTGATTCATTGTGCTGCCAAATGTATTATTTATTGTTAGCCCTTCAAATTTACCATAATGATGTCAGTTATGAATCTCTTTCTTGAATGACTAGTTAGTTGTCAAAATCTGAAACCTTTCATKGCATAATGCAGCATGTTAAATTTACAGAAAAACTGAAACTCCAGGAAGTAAAAAGCTCAAACATGTTGAACAGTATAACCACGTCATTAAATGATCAGATAGTAAGAAAAKGATGTATTAGAATATATGCTTCAATACCTGATAGAAAGCCATGAAATGTAATGTGTTCCTTAGTCTAGATGTAGAACTTACCATCACAGAAATGTGCAGCAAATGCATGTGTTCATGCAACACATGAGCAGGCTCCCGGGCCGTGGGTTGGGTTGTCTGCAGAATGAGTTCTGATTCAGTCATGGAGACGTGGAAGTACAGAGTCCCATTTTCCAACCACTGCTGCTTCCAGTGTACCTGAGAAATATCTTCTCCTGTACCAGACATCTCTGGGACAAAAGACAGAGAAAAAAAAAGCAAAAAATAAGAAAAATAGTTATACAGATCTAATTTCAAGACTTTTAAAGAGACTAGACTTTTGTCTAGTAATGGATATGTCTTCCTAAACTTATTCCGATAAAACTGAAAASAGGAAACATACAAACATTCAGACATAAATGCAAAACTAGTAAGAAGAAAAACATAAGAGCAAGGTTTTGCTCATACTGTTAGGTGTGACAAATAAGTTAAAAAAATTACGTTTAGTGCAAAAAAGTCATAATAAGCCAATGCATTCCATTTTAATCAGTTTGCTTTTAAAGAAAGTTGTTGATGCACACACAAACAAAATAAAACATTCTCAATATTTAATTCGGCTTATGCAAAATTAAACATACATTATATTAATGGGAATGAGTTTCAGGTGAGGGTTGACACTGAGGTTCTTTGTGTAATAAAAAGCTAGAAACAGGAAAATAAAATAAAAAAGAATTAAAAAACATAAAAAAGGAAGGGAGAAAAAACTCATATGCYCCAAAAAAACAAAGCAAAAAGAGAGCAAAGGGCCTCACCATTCTATCTTGTAGTGGATCATGACACAGGAATCTAATCCAGTGGGAATAATTGTAAAATAGTATGAAGAAACCTCAGGGAATCTTAGATGGCAAAGCACGATAGAGTTTTTGCCATGAGGTGGTGGTACATGGGCATAGGYAATCGTTGACATCTCCTATCAGTGGCAGGTAGCAAATGACAAATGTTTTTTGGTGCAGCAGGTTATTAACCTGCTGCCTCTGGGTCAGAGGACATGGGCAGCAGGGGAGAATACCATTAGCTGTGTTCAACAGAGCCRCAGGCCTTAATGTGCAGAAAGAGTGATTGCAAAAGAGATGAAAAATTGGGTAAATAATTGTACATTATCAGCTTTTAATGTCTAATTATTATACGTTTTGGACTTTTATTATGGAAAATTTCCCTTATTTAWTTCATATTTCTTGATCAATGACAATCTATTGGTTGTCAAAGTTCATACAGCAATTTGTTATAATTAATTTGGAATAATGATCTGCCACAGCTCAAACCCATCAGGGGAGGCATTGGGGGCGAGGAATGAGATTAAAAATTGTAAAAATGAAACATCTAATGCACTTCTATAACATTGTATGAAGAACTAAATACTATTTTAAAGGAAGCAAAGAATTATGTATTTTCCARGCACATAGCTCAATTCTCTACCACAATCATATAACTGTTACATTTAGTTGTTATGAAAATGCTGTATATATTGAAAATAARTTTGACATTGCATTATAGCCTATCTAAACTTGTTGCAATTGTYCTCTGATTCTTTAAAAACCTCCTACTGTTTCTGACACTCCCACTTCAACACATTTTCACAACAATACTTTGGGGTAGGGGTAYTCTGTGGGGCAGGAGCTTGGCTGCAGACAGCACTCCTGGGAGGAGCTTTGTACAAATAGGTGGTGCTTTGTTCCAGCAAGTGTTTAGGTAGCTTCACATGGCTACCATTGGAGATTCAAGGATTTCTCAAACATGCATGAATGAGTCAAAGCAACACTCAGGGCATGTTTTTTTGATGAGGGAATGATTGTGACTTTATATTAAAGCTCAAATAAAGCTGATTTTGCATATCACCCTGGCTCCCTTTAAAAAAAAGTTTTAAAATGTGGTCAGTAATATAAATATTTTTAATGCCCAAATAAATATGTGATATTAGGTAATTTTAGGTATAACTTGAACCTCCCTGTGTTTTTGAATACACTGGAAATATCCTTTTTCTTATCACTGTCCTGGAAAATACTGTATAAGTTTCGCTGACTACAGGTTATGATAAAATGTTGTCGAGTGTGAAATTCTTAAACGCCCTAACAGCCTGGTTGTTATTAAGCTCTTTATGTGTAATCTGTGGGTTGAAGATATGCCACTTCACTTTTCACCTTGGAGATAAAGCTTTGTCTGCTGGGCCTTCGGTGACGTGCCTCCTGCCATCTGTTACTGTGGTAAACAAAGCATATTAGGCTGCTGTCAGAATCGCTCTAAAATCTTGCCTCCAGACTTTGTAGATTTCAGATAGCTTTAAAAATCTATAACWGCTCTTTTAAAGACAGCTTGGTTCAAATTAGGTGTTTCTCCTTCAAAATGGAAAACAAATCAAAATGTAATTAAAGCAGTGTGTTTGAAGGACAGAAATAGGTTTTAAAAGTGTTCCTTTTTTTAAACAAGTGTTTTGTAGATGAGTGAGCATAGTAATAGTGCTATTTTAAGATGAAAGGAATGGACATCTTTGTGTCCTTCTCAGTAGAGCTCTTCGACTTATCATTGGGCAATAAGCCAGACTTTAGCATCATATAGGTGTATGCTCTCAAGCTTTATTATTAATTTATTAAGGGGAGCAACATTCACATGCATATGTGCATGACGGTGAGCACATTCTTTATAAGCCTGACTGAAGCTGGTCTGCCCTCAGCAAGCGTGTGCAATGTTTTCTAAAGGAGTCCAAGGACGAATCAAAGAAAATATAATAATAGTAAACATGAATTAGAGTTAGCTACACATTAAATATTTTATATCATTTCTTAAGGCATGTCACAAGACAACAGCAGGGTGTCAATGCACAGGTTTAAAAATGTGAGAATCCATGGCATTTAGTTTAGAAGAAATTATGTCTTTTAAGATAGGTATATTTTCAACAGCTCAGCGAAATAATGGGTTTGAATGTTTTTGACAGTGACGTGAACAAAAAGGTTTGTTGGAAAAAAGTATCATCTGAAGTCTGAATTGTCTTTTTTTGACCACCACCTTGCACCATTATAGTAAAATACTGCAATAGATGTATCATAAGTACTCTGTACATTGGTCAGTGTTGTTATCCCTTATGTTAAATACAAGGTTCTAAATCTGTATCCAGTTTGGCAAGCAAAGCTCTTCATCCAACATTGCTTTGCATTCACTCTGTTTTATAAATCAAATGCACCTCATGGGTCTGAAGAAGGTTGATGTGCCTCAAATTTGCCAACTTTCTACTTTCTAACACGCTGCACTCRGAAGGGGGTAATGTCTGGCTGTGGTTGCCAGAAAACTTGTGTTCTCATTTTAATGTAATACTGAACTCAAAACAGGTTCACTGGAAGGACAAAACACACAAAAACAAACATAGTGTATGGAATCTAGTGCAGAGAACAGTACACAAAATATTGAGGAGAAAAAAAAAACAACCACACAGAGCACCAAACACAAAAAACAGATCCTCAGGTAAAAAAAAAAAAAATCAGCTGTCCATATCACTGTCCAGAATAAGGGTTACTCTTCTAAAGACACAAATGCACAAGTTTTGAATGAAAAAGATCAATGATTTGAGTTAAGGAAGCCTATAATACTTAATATGGTMTTAAAACTACACTACTGTGTATTCCAAGCTCTTAAGATAGCATGATGTAATGTCTGTCCAAAACTCAGCAGCTGTATGAAAAAAAAAAAATCCTACTCATTTTGTCTGCCAAAATTACTTGTTTATTTGTAGAAAGTATTTTGACCTTTAAAATAAGTAYGTTCTAGTATTATACCTGTTTATTTTAGCTTGGTTTAAAAAGGCAATCAAACAAAAGGGTCTAGCTCAGTCAGGATGAAGGCAAAATAACTTACTGAATGTTCTTGAAACTGAGTGCTAAATTACCAGTGGAATGAAGCTACTGGACATTTCTGCTGTTCTCAATTCAGTGAAGYGAAGTCTTCTACCAGATGGCAGGAGATTAAAGAGCATAAAGAAGGGGTGACTAAGGTAATACCACAAAGACTTCAGTCCATAGCTCTTTGAGTATGGGTGAACTGGGCACTATGTTATCTAAWAGTCAGTGACTGAGCACTTTGTTTTAGGCTCAGAAGTACTAAGCTCAACTGCAATGTACACTTACTGGAAAATATACTTACTGCAATTTTGAAATGTTGCTCATTTCACCATGAGTAGAAAACTCCTCTTCAATGATTATGTAGATGTTTGCACTAAAAATCTGCCTGCATTGAGTAACTCAAGGGACACATATCCTACCAAAAAAAAAAAAAAGTAAAAAGTGAAACTCTCTACAGAGTCTCAAGCAAGCACTTCAGAGCAAAATATACTATACACATAATATTTTCCTACACAGGGGAATAGTGCGTTCCAGTTAAGATGGATTCCACTATATTTCTGCTTCCCAGCATTCGGGACATTATATAGACTGCATCCAAGTAGTCTTTGAAGTATTCACTCTAGTTACTGAGTTGCAATCACTAYCAGAAAATCCCTTCTGTTATTTACATAGGTATGCTTTAAATATGGTCAGTCACTTTTCTGCAAGTRTACACAACTACATTTTACCAAACAGTTCCATGAATGTGGACCACAAACAAGCAGCTGGTATGTATGCAAAGATCATTAGTAAATATCCTTGAATAACCCTATATCGTATCATTAGTGGCCTTCTATTAATGTAACGACTTATTTTATTAGGGGAAATGGAAGTTATATTCCAGCCCCCGGGTAAAGACATCACTCACCAGCCATCAAGCTCACAGGAGGTGTCCTGGAATCACAGGCAGATACACACTTGCTCCAAATCCAAGAACACTGCTAGCATATTACAACCATGCTGAATGAGTTTTGACACAGCAGGTGGTAAGTTATGAAAACCACAGAAAGGCAGTGCATAAAGAACAGTCGATTTCAGTGCTTTTGTCTTCCGAAGTTAATGAATGACCATAGGATGTTGAGTTTTATGTGACGAATCCTGTGAATAGATCCATTTATTGGGCTACACAGCAAACATCCTTCTCTAATTTATTTTATTTTTTCAAATTGAAGGTTTTAAGCTCTGATAGCCTTCATGGTGTATTCATTCAAAAATAAAATATAAAAAACAAATGCAAACATTAATTGCTAAGAAGTAAAACTAAATATTTTTTTATTAATTCAATCAGTGTGTCCATGGGATTTGTTGCATCAATACAGGTACAA